CCAGAATCACCCCCAGCCCTGCTGAAAGGCAGCCGAAGCTGCGCTGATGGCACAGCGATGTCTCAGCCGAGGCCCCAGGAATGTCAGGATTTTTTGTTTGGGAGGAAGGGTGAAGCTGATGCCCGTTGAGATAGCAGCACTGCTCCCAGGTGAGGTGTGGGGCAGGCTGGGGACGGCTCCAGTTTGCTTTAACCAACCCAGAAAACCTAAAAAAAAAACCATTTGAGATAGAGAGAATCCCCATCTCCCTCGACAGCAACAGGAGCTGTGTCTGTTTATTCTTCCCATGAATAAATTTATCCTGGGTGAATAAATTCTTCCCGTGAATAAATTGATCCTGGGTGTCCTAAAGTGCCACCTCTCAGTGTGGTCAAACCCTGCAGAGCTGTTCCATCCTCAGCCCAGCATTCTAAAGTTCATGGTTCTCCTCAAGGATTTCCCACATCTTTCCTTTTTTTTTTTGTGGTTATCTCCTCCTCACTCTGCCAGATCCTGCTGGGACAGGGCCTTGCTTTTCATGACAGAGCTGCTGTTTTCCTGCTGAATTCACTGGAAAATTTCCTGAATTCCAGGTGAATTTCCTGGTCTGTTCACTGGAAAATGCAGGTTGGGGTTGAAAAGAAAGTTCAGATTCACAGCTTCTCCTTTCCTCAGTCAAAACCACCTTGTTGTTGATAAAAATTACATTGTGGCTTACAAAACTTACCCTGTTGTTGACAAAAGTTATATTGTTGTTGACAAAACTTAACTTATATTGACAAAAATTACCTTGTTGTTGACAAAAATTGCCTTATGTTGATGAAAATTACCTTGTTGTTGACAAAAATTGCCTTATGTTGATAAAAATTACCTTGTTGTTGACAAAATCCTTGGACTTGAAAGCGTTCAGCTCCAAGAAGTACCTGAGCAGGGAGATGTTCCCGTCCTGGACTGTGTAGTGAAGAACTGTCTTGTTGCTTTTCACATCCTGTTTAAAAAATGGGAAAAAATATTAAAAATATTAAAATATAAGAAGTATTTTTTAAGACCAAACAAAATAGGAAATTTTCTGCAGGAAAATCTGGAGATATTCCATAAATCCATCAGAACAACCCCATCTGCAGCTGATGGGGAGCATCTTTCCAGTGACCCTCTGAGCATCCCGTGTTTGCTCAGAAACCCCAAAAAGCCTCACCAAACTCTGCCAGCAATGCCCTGAAAGGCACCAGGCTCATCCAGCAGCTCGTCCCTTCCCCAATTCTGAATTTTGAGCACCAAACTGGGAGAAAATTCCCAATAAAACCAGGGATAAGGGAGCTCACCCGGCTGTAGATGGAGGCTCCGGTGCGCACCAGGAGCTGGATGCAGAATTCCAGCTCCCTGCTCTGCTGCTGGAGCTGCTCCTGCTGCTCCTGTCCCTGTGTYTGGCTGCTCTGATCCCTCAGCAGGGCGTTGTGAGCCAGCACAGCACAGTGCAGAGGGGTATGACCTGGAAAATTAATGGGGTGAGGTGAGGAAAGAGCCAGGAAAACCCCAAATCACAGCAGCCACCGCCTGTCCCTGCCCTTCCTGTGCCATTCCTGTGCCATTCCTGTGCCATTCCTGTGCCATTCCTGTCACCAGGGTCACCCCAGGCTCAGGGAAGAGCTCCACCTCGGGAATTTGGGAATTTGGATTTTTTTTTTCCTTTCTGGGAAAGGGAGCAGAGGGAATGGAGGAGCACAAACGGGTCTGGTGGTGTGGAGCAGCAGCAGGAAGGGTTTTGTGSCTCTAATCCAAGTCAGTGTTTCTCACTGGAATATTTCTGTGTTTGTTGCATCCTTCTGTTTTTTTCCAGCAGCTCCTTGGGTCTCTGTTTCCATGAGGGTGTGATTATGGGGGGATTTTGGAGCAGTTTTAGGGCAGATTTCAGAGCAATCATACATTTAGGGTATGATTTAGGGGGGATTTCAGAGCAATCATATATCGAGGTGAGGCACAAACAGCATTTCTCCCATCATTTATCCCATTTC